CTGAGCCCTGGAGAACATCACTAGTGAAGGCCCCAGCTAGAGTTAGCTCCAATCACCACAACTCTCTGGGTCATTAGTCAGTTCTTTACCCATGGAAGAGACCACCCAGTCAAGCAGGAGCAGCCACTGGCTAGAAAAGGAGCTGCTTTAACTTAAAGCCTTTAACTAAGAAGTCACAGGAGCTCACTAGGCAAAACTTCAAGTTATCTCACACATTGTCTAAGATGTTCCCATCCAGACCTTTCTCTACAACAGACAGAGGTGAAAGAATGAAAAAGAACCTTTAATTTTCCAGTCTTTCCCACTCACCTGGCACTGAGGATCACCAAACTGACATTTAAAGTTTAAGACCTTCACCCCCTCTTTGGTCAGCATCAAACCTGTTTGCAGCACACCTGAGCAGAGAGCACAGCCAAGAAAACTCACTTAGGTATTTACAGTTTCCAAGAACTCCCTTAAATGCAACACAATAACCTGGAATGTGGGATTGACTTCTGCCAATCATCGGGAATTAGGAGCAAGGATTCTGCAAGTCATAGTAATCCCTCAGTAACCACCAAAGTGGCAACCTGAGGAAAGTGCAGCAAATCTGAGGCCCCACAAAGCATCACACAGCCACCTCCATTCTTACTCAACACCCACTATGTTCTCACATGGCATTGTAAAAACATCACCAGAGAGCAGAGGAAGGAGGATGGAACCACCTCCTTAGACCTGCATGTGGGGCATCAGGGGTATCCCACCCTGCCATGGGCAGAGATACCTCCCACCAGCCCAGGCTGCTCCAAGCCCCATCCAGCCTGGCCTGGAACACTCCCAGGGATGGAGCAGCCACAGCTCTGGGCAACCTGTGCCAGTGCCTCAGCACCTCACAGGGAGCAATTCCTGCCCCATCTTCCATCTAGCCCTGTGTCAGTGTGGATCTATTCCCCCTTGTCCTGTCCCTCCATCCCCATCACCTGCTGCCCACACTGTGGGATCAGCCCAGGGCACTACTGTTGTGGCTTTTCAAACAAATACCACTTGGAATTCAGAACCAACCTCTGACAATGAACATACCTGGATAGGACTTTCTCTTGGTCTTTGCTGAGTGTTCACTTACCCACATAGGCTATTCCCTCTTGCCTCATACTATCCACAATGTGCTGAAGGATTGCATCATTGATGTGCTCTAGAAGAACTTCTGGAACCTGACAACCAACATCAAACTGACTGAGACAGTGATGACATTTGCTGGATTAGCTCATAGGACGTGGAAGAACTCGAGTGAAGAGATGCCTCAGCTGTTTCCTGCTGTCCCATCCCCAACTCATGAGCTCCTCCCACTGAGGCCTGAAGGATAAACACTAACCCTCTGTCTCCCAGGACTTTTTGGCTGGCTCTTAAGGAGGTTTGAGAGTGGCAGCCTGGGCTGTACACACTGACGTGGTGTGAAAACCACACTAAGAATATTCTTGAGCAACAGAGTTAGGGCAATGCAATCAGCATTAGCAACCAACAAGAACCTCGAGGTTATGTTCAAGACACAAAGACGATGTTAAGAGTTTTGCAGGGACATTGCAAGTGAAGCTAACGGGAGCAGACAAACACTAAAGCTTAGGAATAATGGAAGAGAGAAATTCCAGAAGAAATCTGGATAGGAACCAGACTAGGCCCTAAAGGAAATCTCCTAAGCACAGGTGTGATGAGCCTCACCGTGGTCTGGGGAAGAGGAGAGCCATACCTGAGGGACTGGGCAATAGGCACCCATCCCCCCAGTGTTGGGGCCCTGGTCCCCATCCAGCAGCCTCTTGTGGGCCTGGGCTGGAGGCATCGAGGCCACAGTGACTCCATCAGTGAAGCACAAGTACTGGGAAAGGAAGCACAGAGAATCAGAGTCAGTCAGGTTGGAAAACACCTCCAAGCCCATCAAGTCCAACCTGTGACCAACACCTTGTCAGCTAGCCCAGAGCTCTGAGTGCCAAGTCCTGAGCTCCTTGGACACCTCCATGGATGGGAACTCCTCCACCTCCCTGGGCAGCACATCCCAGTGCCTGACAGCCCTTTCCACGGGGAAATTCCTCCTGATGGCCAACCTGACCCTCCCCTGGCACAGCTTGAGACTATGTCCATGACATAGAAATGGTGACAATGTCCTGACCCAAGGGACACCAACAATAGGCTGAGCTCAGTTCTGCTGGGAAATGTAGGAATCACAGAATCCCACTCTGGTTTGGGCTGGAAGGACCTCAAAGCTCATCAATTCCAATCCCATGGGCAGGGACACATCCCACCAGCCCAGGCTGCTCCAAGCCCCATCCAGCCTGGCCTGGAACACTCCCAGGGGTGGAGCAGCCACAGCTGCTCTGGGCAACCTGTGCCAGTGCCTCAGCACCTCACAGGGAGAAATTCCTGCCGTTCTCCTCTCCAGGCTGAACAATCCCAATTCCCTCAGCCTTTCCTCCCAGGAGGAGTGAATTCCCTTTCAAATAATGAGATCTGGACCTGTCAGTCACATGGACATATTGTCTCAAGGCATGGGAATAGCACTAAACAAGGCTAAATGTTAGCACAACATGATTGCTGCAACCTGAATTACCAAGACAAAGCCTCTACCAGCATGTCTGAGGTCTCTTTAGGGGAAAAAAAAAAAAGATCATTTTACACCTAAAAAGATCACCACAATTACAGTTTTATGGCTAATATGGAAGAAAACTCTACTGACAACACACAGTGATTAGTGTGTCATCTCTTTGCTCAGATTGCATATGATATATACATGTATTTAGGTATATAAAACCCAACTATCTGAAGCAATAAACTCAGTGCTCATGCAGGAGCACAGCAACGATGCCAAAGAATACAAGCAGAACCATCCATCCCTTACAGAAAGCTCTTCCCCTTGGAGAAGCTCTTCAATAACAACCTCCTCTCCAAATATTCTGTCCTGTAGGAAACAAGATTAATCTCCAGTTAGCAAACATGAAATCCAGTGGCTAAATCCTCTCTTTAACAGGAAAAATAATGCACATGGGAAGTCCTAGCTTGGCTGGATGATGAGGCCTTCGGCAGAGCCAGTGGGATTTCATGTGGAGATTAGGCAGAGATGGGGAAATGCACCTCATCAGGCACTCAGAGACAAGGAAAAACTGAAATCTGGAGGGACAGGGCAGTGGGACTTGGGGCTGGAACAGGAACTCAGCCACAAGACCTCCAAGCCCTGCCTGGGGCACACAGGAGGAATTTGAGGAGACCCAGAGAAATCCTCAAATGGGTGTATTTACTTCCTGCAGCTGGAATGACAAACTCACAGACTACAGAACATCCAGACTTGGATTCCCAGGGATGAATGAAGGATTTCTCCACCTGCATGATGTCCTGGACAGCTCTGCAGGCTTCCTCCTTGCTGGCTGTGATGGTCACTTCTCTCCTGGCAGCAGGGCCACTTGCCCGGATGACTCGAGCTGGGAAGTCTGTGCTTTAAGGAAAACAAAGTGGGATTCAGGATCCCTCATGAATCCAGGGAAATCCTCATTTTGAAGCTGAATTCTTCCCCTATTCTTCCTGGGGTTTGCCAAATGATTGAAGAATAGCCCAGGGAAAACACACTCCCTCTAGCTCCTAGAGCATTGTGCTGGTCTGTCTGGGTAGAAATGACTCTCAGCCTTTATAGAAAGACTTACTGAAGTTATTTTCTCTATTGAATTTTTTTGTGTTTTTAAATGGCTAATCTGAAGGAATTGGTCAAAGGGAAGAAGAGTTGGGATCAGGGAACAGAAAAAAATCACCAGTTTCCATTCACAAAATCATGGAATCACAGAAGGTTTGGGTTGGAAAGCCCTTAAAGCTCATCTAGTTCCATCCCCATGGGCAGGGACACATCCCACCAGCCCAGGCTGCTCCAAGCCCCATCCAGCCTGGCCTGGAACACTCCCAGGGATGGAGCAGCCACAGCTGCTCTGGGCAACCTGTGCCAGTGCCTCAGCACCTCACAGGGAGCAATTCCTGCCCAATCTCCACCTGTCCCTGCCCTCTGGCAGTGGGAAGCCATTCCCTGTGTCCTGTCCCTCCATCCCATCTCAAGTCCCTCTGCAGCCCTCCTGGAGCCCCTTGAGGCACTAGAAGGGGCTCTGAGGTCTCCCTGGAGCTTCTCTTCTCCAGGCTGAGCCCCCCAGCTCTCCCAGCCTGGCTCCAGGGCAGAGTTTCTCCACCCCTGCTCCTTCAGGAGCTACACGAGAAGAACAAGAGTTGAGAAGTCACCAAGCCCTAAGGACCTACCCTGGGCGAAGGCACAGAAAAGTTGCCCGAGGAGCTTCCAGCACCAAGCACTTACCTGATGATGAACCTACAGGCCTCCTGGGGGCTGGTGAAGGCTTTCCATCTTGCTGTTGGGATCCCATGTCGATCCAGAAAGGCTTTAGCCGAACTGGTGTTGGCTGCCAGCTGGGCTGCCCTGGCAGAGGGCCCGAAGCACCGAACTCCTGCTGCCCTCAGGTCATCCACAATCCCTAGGGACCACAAACAGCACAGGAACCAAGTGCTGCCTTCAGAAACATCAAGAGGTTAGGCACAAAGGGAAAGCACATCATCATTTCTACACTTCATCACACTTTGCCTCATCTCAAAGAGCCAATTCATCCTTCAAATGAGGTTCTGCATGTCCAGTGAGCTGTTGCATCAGGTAGTTTTAAGAGGTCACAGTTCTCACCACCTATTTTAGAGCAGAATTTGAGGTGCTGATGTTCTCTGACAATTAATCTCAGGCTTACCAGCTGCCAAAAGAGCTTCTTGGCCAACCAGCACGAGTCCAATGTTGTGGTCCTTGCAGAACTGGGTGACAATGGTGTGATTGCTCACCAACACAGCTGAAAGGGAAGGGAACAAAATCACCACTGGAAAGCCTCAATGAGAGGTGGGACATGAGAATATCTTTGTTCCATCTCCCTAAAAGTGGGATCAAAATACTCAAACAGCCCATGAAGGGCAAATGAAACAACAGTAGGACAATTAGAGTCCAAAAGGAACAGTGAACATCTCCAATTTGCACTGCTGTAGTTAACACAATCTGCTCCCTTATTAAACTTGCTTTATTTCCCACATGCAATCAAGACAATAAAATACAAAAATTAGAATCAAACTGAAAAAATACCAAAAAAAAATGAAATAGAAATATAAAAATAAAATCTGTGGAAAATAAATCTGTAAGCTCAGAAGGAAACAGCTCCCACGTGTGAGCAGAGATCCCTCAGGGCAGGATGGAGCTTGGTGTAGCTGAGCAGCCTGGACCGACTCCAGGGGTATCCACTCGGAATCAGAACTTTGAGCCCTGCAGATGTGGGTTAAACCCCCCCAGGTTGGGCCCCGAGGGCAGTGGGAGGGAAGGGAAGAGCTGCAGACACACACAGAGCCTTGGAGAAGCCTCAAGAAACAAGGCTGAAGGTGGGCACAACATGATGTTTTTCTGGGCAGCAATGAGGTCCAGGCACAGAACAGAGCAGAGGACACACAACAGAGCGCAGGAGACAAATCTGCCCTCTAAACCACTTGTGGCTGCAGAGAGGGGAAAGAGGAGCTGTTCCCTCTGCCCAGCTTGGCACCGCGGGTGGGTCTGGGCAGTGCCACGGGTGGGTCGGGGCAGCCCGAGCTGCGCCCCGTGGGTGTTT